GGGGATAGGGGCTGGCAGGGGTGGGATTAGGGGCACGTGGGGATAGGCTTTGGGGGCTTGGAGGGGCTCAGGGGTAGGTGCAGGTATGGATAGGGGCAGGCAGGAGGTGGGGTTGGGGCAGGTGGTGGCATGTGGGGATAGGGGTTGACAGGGACTCAAGGGTAGAAGCAGGTGGGGATAGGGCCAGGCATGGGGTAGGGGCAGGGGCAGAAGGGATAGGCGCTGGAAGGGGCCCAGCCCAGGTGTAGGGGTGGGGGGTAGGCAGGGGCCCAGGGGTAGGCAGGCATGGGACAGGGCCCAGGGGGATACTGGCGGTCTCTGCAGTGGCTGTGCAATGACCGAGGGGCGGCGCGGGGCTCCCTGCCCACGACCCCATGGGTGGTGCTGCTCCCTGGGCTGAGTCTGCGCCTCTTGGAACATCCGCTCAGCACCGGCCTCTGTGTGTCGCCCTCTCTCAGTGAGCTCGGAATCTCTTGGACAGCAGCATCTGTAGGGGTTGCACATGCACTGCGCACGTCTGAGATCATAAAGGGTAAAGTGGCTGCAATTGTTCCTCAGTTCCCTCTTCCCATCTGTGGCAGCGAGAAAGAGCTGTTGAGTTCGCCTGCTACCTGTCACAATTTTTCTCTGAGCTCTCTTCGGATCAAGACCTATCCTGTATTTTGTCTTATGTTAACGATTTGAATTTTGTTTTACTCTTTCTTTCTGATTATTTTAAAAACAAAACAAAAAAATCCCTTTTTTGTTTTGCGTCCTGTCCACATGTAACGGCAGACTTGCAGGCTTTGGGCTACAAGGCCTGTCCATCCTGTGAGGGACTCATCCTGTTAGCTGACAGCCACAGCCTGTCTTTTTTGCCTCAGAGAAATACATATCCCGGGCCGGTGCTCAGTCTGAATACAAAAATCCCATGACACCTGCTTCAAGTTTTACTTGCTGGAGAAATCCATGTGGATCATCTCAGTTCCAGAAGAGAGAGGATCTTTCTCTAGATCGGACCAGGCTCCCATGAAGTCATCCTCTGCTAGTGCCCATACTATCTGGCACACCACTGCTAAAACCAGTGTGGACAAGAAGTTGATACCAGAGAAAGACTCAGCACTGGTGACCTCTGCATTTGTGACCCTGGTTTCAAATCCAGCACCAAGAGATGAGGGAAGTCGGAACACCGAGGCAGACACGGATCCAGGAACCACTCAGCGTCCTTCCATAAGGAGAGGTGGAGACAAGGATCAGCCCTCCAGGGAGAAGACTACTAGGCTCTCTACAGTTGCAAAGGCTGGTGATCCTCTCTCAATCATAAGCTTGGCTCTGGAGAAACATGTCCCAGTACTGATCTTAACACCATCCATAAGACTGGTACTGATGTCAGCAACACAGTTGTGAATGGAACTTGCAGACTCCTTATTAGAGGAACCAGTATTGACGATGTCCCAGGTACCACTGCCTCGATTGGCACCAGTGCATGCTCCCATCACAGCACTGAAATCGCCGTACAAGTTGGCGCCAATCATTGAGGACATTTCTTCATCATCCCTATCTCCAGGGCACTCATTCTTGCTGATCTCTAGCGGAGAACCCTTCCCTCTGAAAACAAGGGAAGACTATAGAATGGTCTAGAGGCTTGTCCCTCCAACCTCTCTATGGGTGGCACTGGACTGGCCAGCCACAAGCAAGCCAGCCATTTCTGTATAACATGCCACCATGGACAGGCTGGGCACCCCCATCCCGTGCCTCCGGGAGCGGTTCTTCCCATCCTAGAAAGAGGAGATTAAGGTTCGCCTGTGCACTCATAGTCAGATTGCCATCATCTATCTTGGGAGAACAGAAGCAAGGAGTTGAGGTGAGCGCATCTGAATGGGGGCACCCTCTCTTCATGTCCAGATGAAGCTGTCATCTCTGCCAACATCAGCTCTGGACAACTTCAGGGCTTTCCAGGGCCTGCTTTCCAGAATTGCAGAGACCCTGGATACGGAAACCTCTGTGGCAGAGGAAAAGGCACGTATGCTGTTGGACAACCTGTGCTCAGCCACGCCAGCCAGAGTCACTCTTCCGATTAACGATAGTATCCTAGAAGTCACAAAGTCACTGCGACAAACACCCGCCCACAGCCAAACAAGCAGAAAGGCACCACGAGGTGCCACAAAACAGTACTTTATGCACACAATGCAGTGACCTGGGCCTCAGCTAGTCTATGCCTACTGTGAGGTGAGCAGAGGCAAACCAAACATGCTGGAGGTTACCTTAAATTTTAAACTGTCCAACTGAAAAATCCCAGAAAGTTGGCAGGAACGGTAATAGAATATAATATAAATAATGTAAAGTAGCATCAGATACTTGCTCAGGAAAATAATAAACTTTAAATTACCATCACAGTAAAAGAAGGTTTTTTTCACAACACGCTGTGTCACCCCAAGAGGGAATTGACGACTCCTCTCCCTGGCTGCAAAGTCCAGCTTCACCCCAGCTGTCCCATCTTTTCCTCTCTCTGGCTTTTGATGCTCCATTACTTCGATGCTACGATGACTGCATCTCTTTCCAACAGATGCACCTGCTCCTCAGCTGGAGGGCCATACCCCTTCCCAGGCACCCAAACTGTATCCCTCTATCAGTGTCTCAATGGTCACCTCACTGGCCATACGCTCTGTGCCCCTCGTGGCCAGGCTCCTTGTACACTGCCTTTCATGGTCCAACTTCCTTTCCCCAGCTTCCTCAGGAAATCTCCTGTTTGCCTCAGTGCGGTCTCTTTTTACCTCCTCCTTCTTGAACTGCCTTCCCACTGCCTATTCTACGGCAGATTCCGAGCCCCCTCTCCGGCTTGAGCTGCCCTCTCGTTGACGGTCTCTCCCCCTAGGACAGCACTCTATGCTGCTGTGTTACATATGCAGGCCCTAACATTACCCCGTTGGTCAAAACTGAAGCAGGTGCTAGTGCCAAGGCCAGGATTATTACATCCAGCACTAGGCTCACTGGTTGTATCTGCTATTCCCGAAAAATCAAAACAAACAAAAAGTACCCCCCAAGATGAGGATCCAAAACAGCTAGACCGTTTTGGGAGGAAGGAGCATAGCTCTGCCTCACTCCAACTACATATTTCAAACTGCCACGCTGTCAGGGGTTCCCCCCCCCACTCTGAACTCTGGGGTACAGATGTGGGGACCCGCATGAAAGACCCCCTAAGATTATATTCTACCAGTTTAGATTAAAACTTCCCCAAAGCACAAATTCCTTTCCTTGTCCTTAGACGGTATTGCTGCCACCACCAAGTGATGTGCACAAAAATTCAGGGAAGGGTCACATGGAATCCCTATCCCCCCAAAATATCCCCGCAAGCCCCTTCACCCCCCTTTCCTGGGGAGGCTTGAGAATAATGAGAGCACAGACCAGATCCTTTGTCTTCAGGACACTGAAAACCAATCAGGTTCTTAAAAGAAGAACTTTATTATAAAGAAAAAAGTAAAAGAATCATACCTGCAAAATCAGGATGGAAGGTAACTTTACAGGGTAATAAAAAGATTTAAAACACAGAGGATTCCTCTCTAGCTCAGCTTCACAGTTACAAAAACAGGAATAAAACTACCTCTGTAGCATAGGAAAAATTTAGAAGCTAAAACAAAAGATAACCTAATGCATTTCCTTGCCCTACTTACAATTTCTGTGATTTTTAGATGGATTATTCTAGGTATATTTTCAGGAGATGTTGTCCCTATTTGGCTTCTCTCTCTGTCTGGAGACGGAACAAAACAAAGGGAACAACAAACAAATTCTCCCCCCCCAGATTTGAAAGTATCTTCTTTCCTTATTGGTCCTTCTGGTCAGGTGCTAACTAGGTTATTTGATCTGTTTAATCCCTTACAGGTAAGGCAATTCAGTACAGCTGCCAAGGAGGGATTTTATGCTACTCTTTCCTCTATATTTATGACACAAGCCTTCTTGGCAAAGTACAACTACCTAAGCTGGGAAAAGGTCACCTCATTTATCTTTAATTTCTCAGGAGTTCAAGGATATTATTATTATGGTAGGTCAGCTCAGGCCAGATTGTCCCTCCAGGCCACTATAGACACATCAGACACAGCAGCTAGGTCCACGGTCACTGCTGGGACCATCAGGAGAGCCTTGTGGTTGCAAGCTGTGGGCCTCCCTAAAGGGGTACTGCAGACAATTGAAGATCTGCTGTTTGAGGCCATGAATTATTGAGTGAGTGTG